ATTACAGGCATGAGCAGGAGGAAATCAATTCTGGAGAGTTGATCTCGGACCTCCACACTGCAAACCATGAGCAACATACACAAACAGATACACACATAACACTTTTAAAAATTATTATTTATTAATGTGCATTGGTATTTTGCCTGCATGTATGTCTGTGTGAGTCTTGGATCCTCTGGAACTGGAGTTACAGACAGAGCTGCCATATGGGTGCTGAGAATTGAACCCAGGTCCTCTGGAAGAAGCAGCCAATACTCTTAACCACTGAGCCATCTCTCCAGCCCTACGACAGTACTTAAAAGAAATTTTTTAATTCCCAGCAACCACATGGTGGCTCACAACCATCTGTAATGAGATCTGGTACCCTCTCTTCTGGCATGCAAGCATGAATGTAGGCGGAATACTGTATACACAATAAATAAATAAATCTTTAAAAAAAAAAAGAAATTTTTTTTCAGGCATTTAAAAACTAACAATTGCAAAGAAATATATTCAGAACTCACTTAAGCAAAAATAAAATTGAAAGATTTCAAAGAGCCAGGCAGTGATGGTGCACACCTTTAATCCCAGCACTTGGGAGGCAGGGGCAGGTGGGACTCTAATTAATTAGAGGCCAGCCTGTTCTACAGAGTGAGTTCCAGGACAGCAAGGGCTACACAGGGAAACCCTATCCTGAAGAAAAAAAAAAAAAGAGAAAAAGGAAAAAAAAATTCAAAGAAATGATGTCACTGGTCTATAAAACTGATCTAAGGAAATAAATCATGATAATCCCTAATGGCTGAGTGTCAAATCTATAATTTTAGCATTAAGGAGGCAAAGGCAGAAGGATCAAAGTAAGTTTGAGGACAGCCCGGACAACATAGTGAGTTCTAGGCTAGCCTGGTCTCAAGAGGGCAGGAAATTTGACATAAGAACCATTTCCTTCCTTTTCATTGAACACAGTACATCTCCCATAGGATGCCCCTTCAGTCATGGATCTCATTTTCCAAAATTCAACCGGTGACTAAAAAGTCCACAACACATCCTCTATTTGACACACAAAGGAAAGGAGGAAACAACAGCAAAAGGGCATTATGTTCTAACTTCGTTACCACATGTTACCGAAACAGGAATCAGTAAGTTAGAAGAGATGGAAATCCTAGGCTGGGAACGTAGCCCCAGAGAAAGGAAGGATGGACAGGTGATACACAAAAACAGCAGAGGGTCAATCTCACCAGGTGTGGTGGTCCTTCCTATGCCCATGCCTATGACCCAGCACTCCAGAGCTGAGCTAGCCTCGGTTACGCAGGGATGTCAGCTACAGCAGGAACAAAGACTAAGTTCAGGCTTTCACTGACAGCAGTCTGGAGAGCTTCCTTTCCCTTTAGGGAACTGCACTCAGGCAAACCTAGGATTCCTGAGTTTACTCAGAGAAGAATTTCAGGATAAGCAAGTATGATGATTAAAGTTTATTAAAAGCAATTACAATACAGATTTCAAGCACACGAGTTTAAAAATAAAAAGAAAAGGCTCCCAGGAAAGAGAAGAGTATGGGCTGACTAAGCGAGCCCAGCACTGAAACAACTTACAAGACTTGTGATTCACAGGTTCCACCTCAAGGTTTGCTAAGAACCCACTCCTCCCCTTTGTATTGATTTGCCTTTTTTTTTTTTTGACAAGGTCTCACTGTGTAGCCCTGAACTCACTATTTAGACCAAGATGGCCTTGAACTCAGATATGCCTATTTCTGCAAAGATTAAAGGAGTTCATAAGTCTTCCTTCTTCCTTTAGTGAGTACAATTACAGGATGACTCAACACCAGGAGCCAGGAGGTTCCATGAGGGGTTCAGAACGTGCCCTTGGATTACAAAGGCCAATTTTGGTGAGACTTCTACAAAACTGAAGTTTTACAGCAGGAAGAGGATAAAGGCTGTAGCAAATGTAGTAATGTCTTCAGTCAGATTGTGAAAAGACTCCTTTCCCTTCCCATGACCCCACAATTATCTATCTTCCTATCCTGCATCAGGGAGATGCTGTCTCCAAAATATAAATCAATTAAAATAAAATAAAATGCAATCTCAAAATTGAAGAAGAAAGCAACCAAATGAAAATAAACAAAATCAACTGTTGGTGGCGCACACCTTTAATCCCAGCACTAGGGAGCAGAGGCAGGAGGATCTCTGTGTACAAGTCTGCCTCGCCAGCCGAGCAACTCCAGGACAGCCAGGACTACACGAAGAAACCCTGCCTCAAAACTCCAAAACCTAACTGTTTCATTAAAAGAGTTTCTTCACCATATTAAAAGTTTTGCAAGTTTATATACTGTATATGCTGTAATGCCAGCACCTGAAGACAGAAGAGGACATTGCAAGTTCAAGGCGAGCCTGATCTATATAGAAAGCTCCAGGACAGCCTCCCAACTATCCCTACTGCTTAGAGACTTAGGCTACTATTGATCAGGAAAGAAAAGTCTGATCCAGAAACTGTCATTCTGGTGGCTTGTTTAAAAACAGAACGCAGAAGGCAGCTCCACCCACACAGCTGGAAAAGCGCCTGACTTACACACCAAAATCTGTTTGTCTGTGTACTTCTTAACAAGAATATCGCGCTGCACTAGAAGAGTTATATAAGGGTTTTGCAATATGTGATCAGTTTGAAATCTTGTTACTCTCTAAATCAGACCTGAGCTACTTACTACAGGTTGGCTTTCCCTAACATTTTCCAGTTGTATACTTCCATTCTATGATTCCACAATTACTCCAATAGAATCCTGAAGATTTAATTCATCTTTTTTCACGTAAAAAATAATTTAATATTAAGAAACTGATATTTAGGCGCTGAAGAGAAGGTTCAGTGGTGAGCAGTGTGTGTTCTTGTGGGGCTTAGGTGGGTCTCCAGCATCCACATCACATGGCTTTACCACTCTTATTTTAACACCTCATTCTGGATTCCCCACACCTGCACTCACCAGTAAACATTCCCACTTAGCTTAAAAAAAAAATCACTTTTTGGCCGGGTGGTGGTGGCGCACGCCTTTAATCCCAGCACTCGGGAGGCAGAGGCAGGCGGATCTCTGTGAGTTCGAGACTAGCCTGGTCTACAAGAGCTAGTTCCAGGACAGGCTCCAAACCACAGAGAAACCCTGTCTCGAAAAAAAAAATCACTTTTTTAAAACTGACATTGACATATGATTTCCATGAATTTGAGGGACCTCTTACTATATAATGAGTTCTAGGACAGCCTGGGCTATGTAGAGACCCTCAAAAAAAAAAAAAAAAAGAAAAGAAAAGAAAAGGAAAAAAGGTGGTTTCCAGATGTAATGGAAAAGCAGTGATTTGATTCACTATTGTATACAAACCTGCTATTGCAATATAATAGTTTTAAATTTTAATGTTAGACAGCAGAAACCAACACTTCACTCCTCCCTCCAAACCCTTACTTTCTAAAAGGTTGTTAAGATACAAATTTCTAGGAAATTGGGGATTTGGGGATTTACTTTGTCGGACAATGTCAAGATAAACCAGGCCCACTAAAATGGAATATTTCCTAAGAAATAACTGTAATGTAGTAGAAGAACTGGGCAATCGGGTGAGATGGGTCATGCCTGGTAATTCCAGTAGCGGGAAAGCTGAGACGCAAAACTGCAGCGGTTCGAGACCAACCTGGGAATAGAGTGAGACCGTGTCTCAAAATAAAATAATAGGAAGGGGGGGGGGCGTCCACAGACAAATGCATGGGACATATTTTGAAAGAATATTTCAAATAGGAATTGCTCCATCTCGATCTAACAAGATTAAACCTGGATTCTGGATAAAGACCTGTCATGAAATGAAACTATTACCCAAATCTCCGCCTTCAGAAGCAGGCACTAACTACACAGAAACCCCAAGTTTCAAAGTCTAGCCCGAGGGTGAGGGTGGCGGGGCGGGGGAGTTACAAACGACAAGAACCGGAGCAGATACTTAAAGAACGAAGTTATACCTGTAAATGTAAACTTTCCAACTGTGAGATCCAGACCTGGGAAGCATCAGTGTGGTCCCATGTTTACAGCCCAGACTATTCTCAGTAAACCATGCCCACTCTGCATCGGGACGTCAGCGGGCAGAGCGCTGAGACCACGCCACTCCCGAACGCCGCCCGCACACTGGAAGGGGCCCAACCCGGCACCTCCGCTACTCCGAGCCTGGGCCGGAGCCCCCAAACGCCCTCACCCGCTCCCCAGCTCCTCCGGGCAAGGCGCCTCCCACACCCCTCCCCCACCGCCCGTCCGCCACGGCCCGGGTGCTCAGCCGACTTCTCCGCACTTGTCAGTCCCTCCGGTCTCCTCACCTGGGTTAGCCGTAGTCGCCGCCATGGTCCAGATGGCACCGTCGCTGCGCCACCCTCAGTGGGAGGGGCCGCCGCCACCGAGCTGGGGGAGGGGAGGGAAGAGCCACTCCACAGAAGCGACACCTTACCGCCGCCACCGCTACCACGGAATCCAAGATGGCGGACGCCCACCCCCCCCCCATCCTGCGGGAGAAGACACGCCCCGAGACACGCCCCGCGCGGTGGGCGCGGCCAGGCGGCGGCCGGCCTCCTGGGAAAACTGACCAATAGGAATACGAAGTCGGCAGAGGGCCGGGCTAAGGACTAAGCCTGTGAGCCCAGTGACCCGAGAGCTAGGAAACCGACCAGCTGTTCCCCTAATCCTGCCTTCTTTGCGTCAGAGATTCAGGACCAAGCTGACGTCAGTGAAAAGCAATAAAAGCGAGTATTTTACTAAAAAGTTTACTTTCCTATTCTACTCCTCCGAATATGCTCCCTACAGATGGTTTGTTATGTAATCTTCTTTATGTGTTCTAATATGTCAACTTCACGTAGTGATCGCTCATCCCTTCTAGACTGTTTTCCTTTAAGGACCTTTGTCCCGGTAAAAAAAACAATTTTTTAAAGCCTGTTTTGAACCTGGTAGGATAAAAGAAGCTGGGTAACTAAAAATCAACAATGTGGTGCCAAAGATGTCAACACGCAAAACTGGAAGCAATGAATGAATATATTTTTATTAAAACATGTATACCAGCACTCAGAAGGCAGAGTCCAGTCTGTACTACAAAATGAAACTAGTTCTCCTAAGTCAATAAGTATAAAGTGACAAGTTTTTAACAAATGGTAAGGCGATAACCACACAGAATTATTGTCTAATTATAAGGATATTGTCTAATTATAAAATATTATCTAATTACAAGGGCCATTCAGGACAGACACTGTATACACACAACACCATGAAAGAAATTCCACAATTTTACAGATCAAGATATACAATCGAAGCAGTGCATAGTAGTGAACACCTTTAACCCAGCACTCAGAGCCAGAGGCAGGTAGATGTCTGTGAGTTCAAAGCCAGCCTGGTCTACAGAGTGAGTTCCAAAATAGCCAGGGCTATGTATAGAGACCCTGTCTCAAAAAAAGTAAAATAAAAATACAGACATAATGCAAATGTACCTTGTAAATTAACCCAGGAGTGAGAAGCAAACTGAAACTAACACTCAAAACCTATTACATTCATTCCCATGTAAACGTGGAGGGAGGGGTTGTATTTTGTTTAATTTTTACCCTTTGAAACAAGGTCTCATGTAGCCAATACTGGCCTCAAATTTACAATGTCGCTAAGAATAGCCTTGAACTCCTGCTTCTACTGGCTCTTCTTCCAATGTTGGGAGCACCGGCATATTGCACTACCTTGTCTTGTTATCTTACAGTCTAATTCAACAAATATTTAAGAATTTGCCATCAAGATGACTTCACTAGTAAAGGCATACACAGACAAGCCTAGCAACCCACGTTCCAATGCTCCAAACTTACAGAATGAAAGAAAACCAACTCCTACAAATTGTCTGCAGTTTTTCACACATGTGTACTCACAAACACACATACACACAGTATGTTAAAAAAAAAACATTTAAAAATAAGTAAGTAGAACAGGTAAAATGGATCAAGAGCTAAGGTAGTTGAAGCTGGATCCTCCAAAGGCACATAGAGATGGAAGGAGAGACCTAACTTCACTATTGTCCTCTGACCTCCATATATACAAAATACACACACTCACACACATAAAAATAACTATAAACAAACAAAAGTTTAATAAATCATCCACTAAAAGAACATATAAGGAGAGAATACATATCATGTTGACTTCTTGTTTAATTGGTTTGTTGATTCCTTTGGTTGTATTGGTTGAATGGGTGGTTTGTTTTAGAGGCTTTGGATGGTTGTTTTAAATTTTTCTTTGACTTTTGTTTTTTGTTTTTTTTGTTTTGGTTTTTCAAGACAAGGTTTCTCCATATAACTCTGGGTGAATTTTTATTATTTTTAATTATATGTATCTGTGCCTGCATTTAAGTTTGTGTACCTAAGAGCAGGCACTTGAATAGGCAGAGATGTCAGATCCCATGGAGAACTACAGATAGTTGTGAACATCAGATATGGTGCTGGAAACTTAACTCAGGTCATTTAGAGGAGCAGCAAGTACTCCCAAACACAAGTCTTTAGCCCTTTGTTGAAACAGGGTCTCAGTACCGCAAGGCTGCTGACCTTGAACTACTGAGAACCTCTTCTTAGCAGTTCCCAAGTGCTGGGATTATAAGCAATTGGAACCACACCCAGCTAACAATTGATAGCTTTATGAGACAAGATCTCACAGTGTCACTTAGGCTACACTGAACCACACCATGTAGCCCAGGCTATCCTCAAATTTGAAGTGATTCTTGTACCACAGCTTTTTGACAAGATTATAGGCTTGAGTCACCCTGCAAGTCATACAGCAATTTTTTTTAATTGCAAATTATGTATTTTATTTTATTTATTTATTTATTTTGACACAGGTTTGTCTGTACAACAGCCCTGGCTGTCCTGGAACTGCCTTCGTAGACCACGCTGGGATCCAACTCAGAGAGCCCTCTGCCTCTGCCTCCTTAAAGGCATTCGCCTCCATACATGGCTAACTACAATTTTATAAATTCAAATGTGCTGTTTATTTTGCAAATATAACACAAGTCTAAGATCATTTGAGAAGAGGAAATGTCAACCTTTAATGCCAAACTTGGTGGACGTCTGTGAGCGCTAGGACAGGATGGACTATGTAGTGAGTGCTAGGCTACCCAGAGTTACAAGATCCCGTCACCAAAATAAATAAATAGATAGATAAAAATTTAAAAAAAAATTGAAAAGGAAGGAGAAAATCCTTCTATTACACTGGCCAGCAGACAAATGTGTAGGGCATTTTCTTGTGGGATAGTCCAGCACACTGCAGAGGGCGCAACCCTAAGCAGGTTATCCTACACTATATTAAAATGAACAGGCAGAAAGCGGGGCATGGTGGTACACATCTTTAATCCCAGCATTCCAGAGGCAAAGGCAGGTAGCTCTCTGTGTTCTGAGCCATCATGGCCTACAGACCAAGTTCTAGGATGGCCAGGACTACACAGAGAATCCCTATCTCAAAAAGCAAACAAACAAAAATATGACAATAGCCACATAGAGATGCTGTCTTTAAAAGAAGAAAAGAAATGACATGGGAAGAGAGGAAGGGCTTCTGATTACAAAGGATGAGAACACAAAAGCTGGCAGTGAAATCTTGCCCATGGTTATGAATAGTGGGGTGCTGTGCTCCCAGCTCCCCTACAATCTACAAACCCGCCCAGGTACCTGAGCTTGTTCTTGACGTTGGGGGTCTCAGCTACAATGCCAGCATAAAGCCAGACCTGATTTCCGTCTTTGTATTTGGCCACCACTCGACTGCCCACGAACAGCTTGTCGGCAGGAGGGTGGTAATCGTAGGCAATATGGTTGCCGGACAGCAGACTCTTCCCTTTGTTGTCAAACTTCACTTTGTATTTCTTTCCTAGCCCTGGGTATAAGACAAACAGAATTAAAACAAACGACGACAACACAACTCTAAGTCCTGGGTGCAATGTAGGAGATGAAAGGAAAGGCTTTGGGGAAAGGATCAGCAATGGAGACCCACGGGAGACCTTTCCTTAGTCCGTCCTCTGGCTTGAACATACCAACAGTCTGGATGGCAATAAGGGTGCCTTTGTGCCACGTCTTGGTCCTCTTCTTGCCCAGAATTCGCATGTTGACTATCAGGTCCCCATCTTTGCTCAGTTCTCCAGACATCTGACCCAAGGTTCCTACGGACACACATTGTTGTTATAAAGAGTGACGTCATAGGTTAGAGAAAGGAAAGGTCAAGAGGGCAGTACGGTAGGATGGGGGTGCAGCTCAGCTGGTGGAGTGCTTACCTAGCACGCACAAAGCTCCGAAAGTGAACCTCAGCAACTCAGGTAGAGAAGGGAGGAGAATCGTCCTTAGCAACACAGCAAATTTAAAGGTCAGCCTGGAATACCAAAGATACTATTTCAAAAACAAGAACGTAGTATAGGAAATAAAGGAAACTGAGGTATTCTGCGACCACTAGACACTTTTGCTGAACCCTTGGACAAAGGCAGCAACACAAGACAACTCAACTGTTTATGCTAACAGGAGAAACAGAACACTGAATACAGAACACCCCCACGTTCATACCTAAAGGTATCCTTCGGCACACCCTACCAGCGTGTCCTTACTAACAGCAATAGTAACAACAGTTACCAGCCTGAGCCACCACATCAAACAAGCTCAGCCGACTGTGGACACCTCTCATCTCTGTAGCTACTCCTCAACACCAACCTTTGTGCAGATCCTGGGAACTGCTTTTCTTGTTGACAGCATCCATGAACTTTTGGACATCCTGAGCTGATTTTCTTAAGGCAGCCATAGCTTCACGGAGCTGTAGGAAAACAGAAGGGTTCAGGGATGCAGTTATCAGGAGTTAAGACACAATGAGAAAGCCAGGGACTTAGTGAGACAGAACTTGTTTAATATGTCCAGGGACCCCTGCTTCACATACCTAGTGCTGCAAATAAACAAATGATTAAATCAAACAAGAAAAGGGATGCTGCCTGTTAAGAACTATCTTCAATAACCAAAAGATATTCAACTATAGTTGAAGGGCTGGGAGAGGGCTCAGTGGGTAGGAGAGCTTGCTGTGCAAGCAAGATTATCCTAGTTCAAATCTCCAGCACACATGTTAAAAAACCAGTGTGATTTACACGAGAACAATCCCCACAGGCTCATATATTTTAAGGCTTAGTCACCAGGGAGGGGAACTGTTAGAATGGATTACAAGAATTAGGAGGTATGGCCTTGTTGAAGGAAGTGCGTCACTGAGGGGGAGGGGTGGGCTTTGAGGTTTCAAAGGTCCATGCGTCTATCACTCAGTCTGGGAATCGGGATGTAGCTCTGAGCTACTGCTGCAGTGTCATGAGCAACAACATGCTCTCCAGCATGATGATAATAAATTAAGCCTCTCAAACTGGAAGCAAGACAACAATTAAATGCTTTATGTGTTGCCTTGGTCACAGTGTCTCGTCATAGCAAAAGAACAGTGACAATGACAGTCAGCCAAAGACTTAAATGCCTATAAGACCAGTGCTGTTGGGTATTTCCCAGAACTGAAAACAATAGGCTTTAGATTCTATTAGAGATACTGTGTCAGGAGAATAAGGTAGAGGAAAGTACACAGGCACAATTATACACAGACACAGACAGACACACAAGTTACACACATAAAATACAAATAAAGTATTTGAGGGGCTGGAGAGATGGCTCAGAGGTTAAGAGCATTGCCTCCTCTTCCAAAGGTCCTGAGTTCAATTCCCAGCAACCACATGGTGGCTCACAACCATCTGTAATGGGGTCTGGTGCCCTTTTTTGGCCTTCAGGCATATACACAGACAGAATATTGTATACATAATAAATAAATAAAATTTTTTTTTAAAAAAAAAAAAAGAGAGAACTGGGCAGTGGTGGCGGAGGCAGGTATCCACCTGTGAATTTGAGGCCTTTTATACACTGTGAAGATGTGTTGCTCTCGTTGTTAACAGAAGGCTGACTGGCCAATGGCTAAGCAGGAATTTCAGGGTAAAAAGAATGCTGTGGAGGAGGGCGGAGTCAGAGGAAGGGCAAGTCAGGTGTGGAAGAAACACTGGAAGTTCATAGATGAGGTAGTAGAGCCTCAGCACAGCACACAGATGAATAGCATGGGTTAGTTTAAGTGTAAGAGCTGGCTGGAGACAAGCCTAAGCTATCCACTGAGCATTTATAATTAATAAGTCTCTCTGTGGTTATTTGGGAGCTAGCAGTTCCAATGAAAAACTCTGCCTACAAGACCCTGACTCAAAAGCAAAAAACAAACAAACAAAAAAGTTTTGGGAGCTTGTAGTTACTTTGTCAAGATACTGTTTCTTACTAATCTGACACAAAAGTCATTCTGAGGTGGCATTTCTCCCTGGCATGAACTCAGCTGATGTTATTACCATGAAACAGTGTATACAGCCCTTGGTAACTTTTCTTTTGCATTCTTTGTGCTTCTGATGTGTTATATATATGTTGTGCAACACGCAGTAGTAGGCATGAGAACCCCAAGCATGCAGAGGCTAAAGCAACACCAGGTATCATCCTGCATTGCTCACCCAGGCCTTCAGACAGTGTCTATCACTGAGCCAGAAGTTTGCATTGCACTAGTTGGCCACTGAGATCCTGAGGAATCCACTCCTATCCTACAAGTGCTAGGATTACATACACAGCCTTGTTCAGCTAATTTTTTATGTTGAGTCCAAGGGATTCAAACTTGGGTCCCTCACACTTCAAAACCAGGCATGAGCCATCATCTCCTCAGCTCCTTCCTACTTTTTCTACATTCTGGCAATGCCTATGAGAAGACTGTAACTCAGTTTACTGTATAAGGAATACATAGATGGTTAAACTGAAGGTAGGACCAGGTCAAAACTTACTGCCATTTTCAAATTCATATTAATTTCTTAAAGAAAAGGTCATACATAATGCAGGTTGGCCTCGAACTTAATATTAGCATGCAGATGACCGTTCATCGCTGAGTGCTGAGACTGTAAGCACGCGTCACCCCGGCTGCTGGCACACTGCTGGAACTGAACCCAGAGTTCCCTGCGACTAGGCAAGGACTCTATCTAATGAGAAACTTCTGCAGTCCCTGAAATTCACATGTAGATGATTATTTATGTGTAGGTATATATATATAATACTGTAATGCTTTTTAAAGACTACTTTATAATATATTTGTTTGTATCTGTGTACAAGACAGGACCCTCTATCCAGGTGCCTGCAGAGCCCAGAAGAGAGATTCTGGTGATCTGATGTTGAAGCCACAGAGAGCTGAAATCTGCCACATGTGGAGGCTTGAAATTGATCTCAAGTCTTCTGGAAAAGCAGTACCTGCTCATAACTGCTGACTAAAGGCTTCAAACCAAGATGGGTAGTAGTGGCTCATGCCTTTAATCCCAGGACTCAGGAGGCAGAAGCAAGTGATCTCTGAGTTCAAGTCTGCTTGAACTCAGTCTGCTCTACAGTCTGCTCTACAGACAGAGTTCCAGGGCTAAAAGAGAAACCCTATCTCATGAACAAACAAACAAACAAAAGAAAAAAATTAATTTTTTTAAAAAATGATATAAATCTTTAAAAGAGCAAAACCAACTCTTAAACTCCAAAACAAAACAAACAAACAAGTATAAGGTCGGTGCAGTAACATTTATTGGTAACATGTATGAGTCCCTAGGTTCAAGTCCCAGTATAGGGGACAGAAAGTATTTAAAGGAATCTGGAGTTTAAAAAAAAGTAAGCGCCTGCCAAAGCTTACCTCTAGATGAAGTAGACGGGTGGTAGTCTACAACACTTAGGGTATTCATCACGTGTTTATTAAAAGTAATAGGATGACTCTATCTCGACACTGCGTCTAACCTAAGTGCCACGGCCACCTGCAGACAGCGGACCGTAATTAACTAATTCCATCTTGGGTTCTTTCTCACGTTACTTGGCTTCCCTATGGAAAAGTAGCTCCTACGACCAGGCAGGGGGATGGCTGCGTTGGGGAAGGGGTTCTCAGCGGCACCAGGCCCCGGATTCCATGCCCAGCAGAAAGCAAAGGAAGACAGACAAGGTCTCCCTGCGTGAACAGAGCAAAGCCTACAGCGAAGGCGACCACTCACACCCACGCTCCAGGAACCGCGCGCACGGGGCTCGGCGGCCGGGGCGACGACGGGATCGCAGTGGCAGCAGCAGCGGCCCCGGTGCAGCGCCCGCAGCCCCGGCCTCACACCCGCCGCCCGCTCGGCCCCGCCCCCGGCCTTCTCCGCCCTCCGCCGAGAAAAGCAGCCCGGGTCCGCCTCAGCCTCCCTCAGTTCGTCCTCCCCACAAAGCCGCTCCTCACCACAGGGCTGCGTCTCTCCACACGGACCCCAGATTTCGACGCCAGGGCTCGGCCTCGCCGACAAACACAAAAACCGCTGCAAGCGACAGCGAGGGTGGGGAAGCAGCGTGAGGGAGACGAGGGAGAGTAAAGCAAAGGGAAGGCCGGGAAGTAATGTCGAACGCACTTCCGGCTACGGTAGGCCGAAGGGGTCAAATTTCACAGCCTGCCATCGTGGACCGGTGAGAATAAGATTATGGAGGCATCAAGCAGGGCATTGCTGGAGGAGGAGCTGATTGGACAAAGTGGACTTTGACAGGTCTATTTTATGAAGGCTCCCCGCTCTAGTGGTCCATTTATTATTGTTCAAATATTTTTTAATGTTTTTGTTTCGTTGGTTTTGGTTTTTAGAGACAGGGTTTCTCTGTGTAGTCCTGGCTGTCCACCTGTAGCCCACCTGCCTCTGCCTCTGCCTACCAAGTGCTGGGATTAAAGGCACTTGCCACCACTATTGGCGCCCCTACGTCTCTCTCCCTCTCCCTTTCTCTGTATGTGTGTGTGTGTCACTGAAAAAAATTATATATAAATATATGTTTGCATATATTAGACACGTGTAAATATATAATGCATGCATATGCATACGAGTATGCATGTATGTATGTGCATACAAGTATGCGTGCATGCACATGTATGCCCGTACACATGTATGTGCTGCATATGTATTATACACATATGCATACATGTTTATATGCACATATAAATATGTAAATATATTTTTTTAAAGCTAGCCATTGGGAAGCAGAGGCAAGTAGATATCTGATGGAAGAAGGTCATTGGTTAAAAAATAAAGAAACTGCTTGGCCCTGATAGGTAGAAAATTAGGTAGGTGGAGTAAACAGAACAGAATGCTGGGAGGAAGAGGAAGTGAGCTCAGACTCGATAGCTCTCCTCTCTGGGGCAGATGCTCCCCTCTCCCAGGCAGACGCGATTAAGCTCCAACCCAGGATGGACGTAGGCTAGAATCTTTCCGGTAAGCGCACCTTGGGGTGCTACACAAATTATTAGAAATGGGCTAGTCCAGGTGCAAGAATTAGCCAGTAAGGGCTAGAGCTAATGGGTCAAGCAGTGTTTAAAAGAATACAATTTGTGTGTTGTTATTTCGGGTAAAGCTAGCCGGTGGTGGGAGCTGGGTGGCAGAATGCAACCCGCAGCTCCATACAACAGATATCTGTTAGCTCAAGGCCAGCTTGGTACATAGTGAGTTCTAGAACAGCAACAGCTATGCAGTGAGACCGTCCGTTTTGTGTGTATGTGTGTGTATATATACATACATATATATATACACACACACACAACCGGTATATATATATATATATATATATATGTTTTATAAATTTTATTTATATATTATTTTTAAGTTAATTTTATATCTATGTGTGTTTTACCTATGATGGACCAACCTGACTCCATCTTAAGATTGAAAGCCATTGTAGGACCCAGCTATGACAAGCTCAATAGAGACCTAAGTGGTCCCAACCAGCAGGATACAAATCTCGAGCACAAACCCTGAAGGAGAGGAATGAAAGGGACAAGAGACATGAGAGACAGACAGCAAGTCTGTATTCTGATCAAGCTGTCAATTTTATTTTTTCCCAGGAGCATCATATAGCAAAAAGACAGGGGGGAGGGTAGGATGCTGGAATGTCAGGTCTGGAGACATCCCTAGCTATAGGAAGAGATAAGGAAATGCTGAGGGTCTACGAATGTTTACTATGTGGTGGTGGTGGGGATTCTAATTACTTCAGGAGCCTGGGGCCTGCAAGGGTATAGGCACTCTTAACTCACAGGGGAGACAGGAAGATACTGGGTTATTTCCTGGACCTGGAACTTGCCCTGCAGAGGTGAATAGCTTACTTAACTTGTGAGCTAAGATGACTATAACCAAATACAGGTCTTTGCTCCCAGCACTGAGTCTCAGTAGTTTACCCTAGGCCAATACCTGGTTCTGAGAAAGACCACAAACTGAGACCACCCAGGCATCACCCAGGAACACATCCAAAGGAAATTCCTAACGTTCCCACCATTGTAGATTGGATCACCTGCCAGCACACACCACTTTTCACCAGGACACCCTAGACAAATGTGGGTCAATCAGGGGACCTGAACCTTAGAAATCCCTCACTCCCACATTTGCTACTGTAAAAACCCAACCCCAACTGAGCTCAGAGCTCTCCGAGGACTCCAATATGTTGGACACACAGAGAGTCCAAGCTGCAAACTTGTGTAAGAACAAAGGCTCTTTGCTTTTATATACAGGACTTGGTCTCCTAGTTGATTTTGGAGAGACTCTGTGCTCTAGGCTGTAATGGTCTGTCCAGTGCATTTAAGATACAAGCCCCATCCACTCCCCCAAGGCAAGGGGACCTTCCTTCTGCTTCCAGCCTGATCACTCTCACTCACACACTCTCTTTCTCTCTCTCCCTCCCTCCCACCCCCTTTCCTTTCCTCTATAACCCATTGAATATACTAAATCCAAACCCTCTCTCTCTCCATGGCATGCCTATCTGTCTCTGTCTCTCACCTGCCGTGGCTCTTTGTGGGACTGGCTGACCCACTGACCTGCCAAGGTCTCTCACCCACTGTCTCCCACCTGCCTGGGACCCACAGAGGCCTCAGGTGGTGCCCTGGTGCCATTGCTACCCACTCTCGGGGATCTGCACCTCACTGTTAAACTTTGTCTTTCACAAGTACAAATATCACCTGTTAAGTTGAGAGCCAGTTCAGTCAAGCTTGGACTCAGCTCTCCGGACAGATTCTATACTGTAGTTATAACTCATCTATACCCGATAAATAGCCCTCAACTGCTCAGAGATCTGGGGAATATGGCATTTAAATGCTTAGTTATTAAAAGACTTTTCATAACAAAAAGAGACAGGTTGGCTCCTAGCAGCAGCACTCTATTTCCTCCAAAGAAGACAAAAGACAAATGGGCACACAACAACGTCCATCTGCAATTCACTTCAACTGACAAGCATTGACCACTAGGAGAAACTGCCTTTCATCTAAACTGAAGATCACCAGACAGTGGACAGACTTACCGGAATCGACAGCCTAGCTGCTCAGGTGAAGGTAGGCTTGTCTTCCTACAGATTTGTTAACCCACAGGATCTTCTGGAGCCTGGCAGGCCTTGCGCTAAACAGCAAAAGGCAAATACGTAGGTGCCAACCAAGGTAAGTTCTCTGTCATATTTTAATCAATAACTCAAATAAAATTTTATCCTTCTCAAAAATCTCTGATGCAATTTGACAGCTGAGAGGTTTGTCATTTAAAAGGACAACCTCACCAAACAAGTTAACAAAATTCTCTCTCATGCTGCCTTTCATACTCTTAAAGATACTTTTCATTATGCAAAAATATCTGTCACAGGGCTGGAGAGATGACTCAGAGGTTAAGAGCACTGGCTGCTCTTCCAGAGGTCCTGAGTTCAATTCCCAGCAACCACATGGGGACTCACAACCATCTGTACTGAGATCTGGCGCCCTCCTCTGGCGTGCGGGCATACATCGAGGCAGAATGTTGTATACATAATAAATAAATACATCTTTAAAAAAAATATCTGTCACAGGGGGCTGGAGAGATGGCTTGGTGGTTAAGAGCATTGCCTGCTCTTCCAAAGGTTCTGAGTTCAATTCCCACCACCACATGGTGGCTCACAACCATCTGTAATGAGGTCTGGTGCCCTTTTTACATAATAAATAAATATTATTAAAAAATATATCTGTCACAGTCATAAACCCAAAAAATTCTTATGAGTTCCAGGGAGCCAAATTAAAGGATCCACCTTAAACAGGTCAAATACACCCCCTCTCAATTCCCTGGTCTAAAAATTTTTTTCTTCTTAAACTTAACTTTGTCCTCTGTTCTGCCAATACCTTAAACAGGTGTAAAAGACACTAGATATTTCCATACCACAAATCCTGGCCAGGAGCAATCTTTTTTTTTTTGTTTTGTTTTGTTTTGTTTTGTTTTTCGAGACAGGGTTTCTCTGTAGCTTTGGAGCCTGTCCTGGAACTAGCTCTGTAGACCAGGCTGGTCTCGAACTCACAGAGATTCACCTGCCTCTGCCTCCTGAGTGCTGGGATTAAAGGCGTAAGCCACCATCGCCCGGCTCAGGAGCAATCTTTTACATTGTATGAAAATCTAAAGATTTAAGAGCTGCATAAACTAGCTGAAGAAGCATTCTCAACTCTGGTGGTTCTCTTCTCCTGTAAATAGGAGACTGTAGCCTTTGGGAGCATGATTATTCATAAAGCATTATAATTTATCCTGACAAGAAAGTATGGCTCCAAGACACAGGGCCCAAAAGTATCTCTCTCCACTAATCTCTTTTCTTCTCAGAGATCAGCAGTCAATGACGGATTTGAAGCTTCTTCAAATGCCTAAGACAGGAGCTTGCATATAAGAATACCTGTTCCAAAGATGGGAAAATTTGGGTAAATGAAGAGGACTTTGCCTAAGCCAGGCATGATCTGTCTGTCCTGTTGCAGAAGCATAGGCTTTATTAAAATTAATAAGAGAGAGTGGATTGTAGGACCATATTTCTACGTGGTGTGACAGCCAAGTTCTCAGGCCAAGCCTAGTATCCAGAGAAGTCAGGTGACCTTCCAGACAGGCTGTTGCTAACCTAACAAAAGGTCAGGATGTTGTTTTGTTCCTTTCTTTGTAATTTGGAGGATGCCTGATAGAGATGCTAATTCAAGCCTACAGTCCAGCTAGCATACAGAGCACACAGGTAGCTGTGGATGAGAGTAAAAGACATTCACCTGGTTACCTAGGAGACAGAATACTAATGTATTTACCCCTCAGTGTATGTTTTGGTATAAAAGCTGTTTGGAGAATAAAGCGAGAGGAATTCTCAGGAACTCAGGACTTCATGAGGGACCACTGAGAATCTCCCTCCTGATAAAGCCATGTGAGCTGTGTCTTTATTCCTGCACCTCCATGCCAGTCCAGAGAGATAGTTTATGTTGGGGTCTAGTTCAAAGAAATAATTTATGGTACACCGGACCCCGACAGTCCTGGGACGCCAGTGCTGGTACCACCTCTCCCGGCTCAAGAGGACACCTATCCAGCAACTGGGACCTGGTTCTCCAAGATATCCCAATGAAGAGTGTACCTGCTGTTGTGTTTGGCTCATTCACCCTTGTCTCTCTTGGACAGGGCATTCCTCCATTCCATTCCTTCTGGCAGTCTCCTCTCTTCCTATGGCTAACCCCATTCATAGCGCTCGTACTATTAACCTATTTTTTCTTCTAGCAACCTGCCTTCTTAGCCTCCTCATGGAGCAGATGCCTGAGGTCTCCAGGATAACAGATAACCAAATGCTTCTTCATCCATACCTCCAAGTTAAGTGTGGGCCCACGACTCCCAGCTCTCCTGTCCCCACATCATCCCATGCCTGCAGGAAGTAGCCAGACTTGAACCTACATCCATATAGCCAAGGAGTCTGGGATGCTTAGATGGAAACGCCACCTGGTCTCACTCTTCCCTTTCCAGACCTGAGAAAACCCACCCACCAAGATCCTCCTCCCTCGAGATCCTCAAGACCACTCCTACAGGCTGTTTAGGATGCAGTCCCCCCTCACCTGCCACGCGATTTCTGTTCCCCCACCCAAGACCACCCGGGAGTTGCTTTGCTCATTAAACCTAGACTTTTAATTAGTCCTGATCTGGTTTATTGCATCAGCAGAGACTTAATATCAGGAAACCTTTAAAAAAGAATCCCATAGGAAGCACATGCTTGGTAAATCAGTGATGTAATGCTGTCTTATGGAAACCTGGAGATTGATTCCAAATATAATTTTAAAAAAACAACAAGATAAGAAGAAATACATATAAAAGCATTTAGAGCAACAGATTCAAAGTAGGAAGAGAGGTTAAAGTACGTGAAGAAAATATTAATTTAGACAGCTATATTGCCATGGTAGTCTCAGATAAAACACAAATCAAGGCAAACTCCACTATTTAGCCTTACAAGGAATCACTGTGTGTGTTTCTCACGCTCCCTAGGTCATGTTTCATCCTCTTCTCTCACCATAGCCTCATGTTTAATGCCTGTTTTGTGTGTCGTCTTTAAGACCCTGAAGATCTTTTTTTTTTTTTTTTTGGTTTTTTTCAAGACAGGGTTTCTCTGTGGATCTCTGTGAGTTCGAGACCCTGAAGATCTTGAATTAGCATTTCCTTAAAAGTTTCTTTTGATTTTCTCTCCTCCTGTGGTTTTTTCCTTCTCTGGTTTTGCTGAGGCTTTGGCTTATCCTCGAGGTTTGGTCCAGAGATATCACCTGTGTGTGTTTCTCTCGCTTCCTTCTTTGTGTCTTTCTGCCTGCTCATCTTTGAAGGCAAACACTTCCAGTACAGAATTAGTCAGATTCTTTCTACTGTTTTAACATTGGATATTGCAAAACAACAGTCTTGCCGATGGCGAAATTCAAGCAAGCTCTCCCCTCCTTTATCCTGGCCTCACACAGGCCACATGCAGAGATGACAGAAGCTGGCGCCTGGATGGAAACCCCGTGTCTGTGCACCACATGTGCAGTGGCTGTGGAGGCCAGGGAGGGTGTCTGATCCCCTGAAACTGGAGTTACAGAGGGTTGTGAGCTGCTGTGTTTGTTCTGGGAACAAAACCCAAGTCCTGTGCAAGAGCAGCAAGTGCTCTTTACCTTTATAGCTCCAAAGTTGTGTCTTTCTTCAAAGGACAGTGGGACTTATGAGTAGGAAGCAAAGCAGGGCACAGTAACCAATGTATATAATTTCAACATTTTAGAAATGGAGGCAGGAAGATAAATGGTTCAGCATTAGCCTTGGTTCCCTATTGAGGCCAGCCTGGAGATGAGAGAGAAAAAAGGATCAGAAGTTTAAGACCAGTTACATGAGACCCTTTCAAGGGAGGAAGGGAGAGAGGGGAGCAGAGGGAGGGAAGGAGGGAAAGAGGGAAGGGAGGGAGAGATCAAAGAGAAGGAACAGGAAAAGAGAAGGGGGAAGATGTGGAAACAATGTAGATTTGTTTCCAGAAATTCGTAATTTCACGGCTTACTCAAACAATGGCATACTTTTCATCTGTTTTTAGAAAAAGAACAAAAGGTAATGGAGTTAAGATTTAGTTGGGGAGGTGCTTGCTGGGTAAAAAAGAGGTCCCTGGCTCAATCTCCCCACAAGCGTGAGAACCTGAGTTCAAGTACCAGAACCCAAGGTTAAAAAAAAAATGTCAGGCTTGTCAGGCATAAAAAAATCCATCAAGGATATATTTCCTACTGACATGAGATCTTGCTCAAAGTATAAGATTCAGCTGGAGATATAGCTCAGTTGGTAGAGTGCTTGCCCAGTACATAGAAATACTTGGTTCCATTCCTATGCTTCATATTCAAACAGTATGGTGGTGCCTGCAGGAAAACATAACACATGGGAAGGGGAGGCAGGGGGTGCAGAGGCAGAGGTACTTGGTGAAGACCTGAGCTTGCATCCCTGAAGTCACGTGTGGCAGTTTGGACCAGAATGGCCCCCATTAACTCATACACTGGGATGCTTGGTCACTAGTTATCACAGTTTTGGAGGACTAGGAGGTGAGCTGCCATGTTGATGCTGGGAACTGAACCTGGGTCCTCTAAGCAAACACTCCTTACAACAGAGCCATCTCTCCAACCCCTTTCCTTATTAATGGAGAATTTTTGCCTCTGCCCTTACAGAAAGCACTTCTTAGTGCTGGGGATGTAACTCAGTGGTAAACATTTGACTTGCATGCGTGAAAATTCCTGAGTTTGTACTGTGGGAACTCCTTCAGCCCACAGCCTTTAAGATACCAGCCCACTTTGGGTGTGGTCTCATGTACTATAAATGCAGATGAAAAGCGTGCACGCAACTCTTGACTGCTGGATTCAGTTCCAGTTCCCAGCGCAGGCAGAGAACTACAGATCATTACCCTTTCTGTCTTTGTTATACTCCATTCTGGGCTATTGTGGAACGCTTTTGTATGCCAACAAGTTGTCGCCCACGCGGCCTGAGTCCACGGCATTGCCGGGTCCTGCCCAGAGCCCCCACTGTGACCTTCTCACACCCCAAGCAGCTGAAACACCCCTGTGCTGCTGTGCATGGTTTGGCTTGACTGGCCCACCGCAGCAACATGGCAACACTTGCAGCCTGTGTCAGCGTGGCTTAGTCCCACCTACTAAGCAGCAAAGCCACTGCCGTCTGTGGATTTCTACCGGAATTCCTCGACGTTTTATCTGGCTTCTCCGGGTCTACTATCATCAGGCCGAGCTCTGCCTCCTGGAGCAGGGCCTCTAACCATGCACCTGGAACACAGGCTTGTGTTCCCAGTTCAGATCTACGAATGCCTGGCCCGAGATCTGTCCACTAACCTTGTGGCTTGCGACTGCCTGCAAGCTCTGGGTTCCTTGATATCCTGCCCAAGTCAAACCTTGTCTCTATGTGGTTGTGCTGCTCTTAAGTAACTATCTAAATTTGTTATTAATTCTAAGTTCAGGTAATTCAGGTACTAATCTAGGACCTGCCTTACTGCTGCAACTGCGACACCTGCTGGCCAATCAAGATTATTACACCTATGACAATTTACTGAAAAGTATAATGGAAGTAAGTTAATTTGATTAATAAATAAATTTGAAAATTGTAAACCAACTCAAAGATAATTTCAGACAGTATCACAATCCTGGAATTTAACAACCTTTTTGTTTCTATTATGGATGAAATTCTATAAGAGTTATGTGACCTACCTGGTGCGTATATTTTTGTGGCCTTGGCAGCTTTTAACTTTTATATCCTTGAAGAAATGGTTTGATAACAGAGTCAAGAATGAGAAACTTTTAGGAATGACACAGCCTTCAGCTGAAAGGATTCAGACTATAGAAAATGAGAACATTAATTTGACAGGCAAAATTTAATTCATGTCAATGGGTTATGAAGCCTTACAAAAGGTACTGAGATATGATCTGAAAGGATTCATACTGTTAAAATGGACAGTCAAAATCCGTTAAGAAGTTATAAGTTAGCAGATAGAGCACCCCTCCAGGAAGGCAATCCACACGCAATAATCTCTAGGGATGAGAAGATAACATTAATGGAAATGTTAGAACCTTGCAGTCACATGCACAGAATGAGACCGTGAAGTTAATTTATTTGATGAAATCATTAGGAATATTCATAGGTCAAGAGATTCGGGATTTACAAAAGAGAGTGATAAAAACATGTGAATCGATTGAGGAACTTGTCAGAACTGATAAGCAAGGAGAGAAGGTACAGGATTGAGCACTGCCAGTACCTCTCAGAGTCAGAGAAGACTTAACAAGTTTCCAGCAAATACTCAAAACTCAAACAGATATACAGAATGTAAATGGAAACCTATAGGTATGGAAGATCTAAAAGAAATTAAGTAAGAAGTGGTATCATATGGCATGCATTCACCTTTGTTAGGGAGCCAGTAGAGACAAGGGTTTCAAGCAATACGGTCACTCTACATGGTTGGCTTCAATTAGTCTGTGTGGTGCTAGAAGATGGACCACGGTTACAGAGAAAGTGCTATTGTAGAGAGGAGGCTAAAGCCCTGGAACATCAAGATAGAGTCAAAAGGTTTGAGGCTTCCCAATATCAAATTCTGGGTGAGGGCCATTATGCTGATCCATAGATTCAAGTTATTTAAAATGAACACATCCCATGCCATACAGTAACCTGGAATGCTTGGGACAGGATTCAAGAACTAGAAAGAAAAATTGAATCATATACTAAGGTCATACAAGACACCAAGAGAACCCTTTAGTGACTTTTTACAAAGATTAACTAAAGCTGTACAAATAGGGGTGTCAGATCCAGAAGCTAGATAAGTACTTTTTGTATTGCTGGCTTTTGAAAATGCCAGCTTAGGCTGGGTGGTGATGATGCATGCCTTTTATCCCAGCACTCGGGAGGCATAGGCAGGCAGATCTCTGTGAGTTCGAGGCCAGCCTGGTCTACAAGAGCTAGTTCCAGGCCAGGCTCCAAAACTAGAGAGAAACCCTGTCTTGAAAAACCAAAACCAACCAAACAAACAAAAAACCATCTTAGAATGCAAACAGATACATGGGCCTTTAAAGGTCAAATCAGCATCAGTGAATGAATGGGTCCTGCACATAGCCAATGTTGATTCATTTGACTGTAACACTGAGACTTGGGTAGGAGAAGCAATTTCCAAAAGTATGAAGAGACATCAAAAAACCAAATGTTTTAATTGTGGTAGAATTGGACATCCGAGAAGGGATTGTATACAAGGGATTCCTAGAAATGATGTTTCCTCTGGGAATGGGATAAATAGAAGATCTCAAGTTTCTGGACTATGCAGATACAGCAAAGGTTGACACTGAACCAATGAATGTAGATCAACAAGAGACAGACAAGGAAACCTGTTACCATTGAGAAACTTCTTGGGAGCCTCTCACAGGCACCCAGGTCAAACACTGTCCAGCCACTCCCAGTCACCAGAAATTTATAAAATCCATGCTCTGGATGATGGAATAAACATGAAGGGTGAATCAATAATTCCATACTTCTATAAATAATCAAAGACCAAATCTCAGAGTACAAATAAAAAACATTATAATTGAAGGATTATTATTAAACACAGGTGCAGATGTGACTATTATTATTCCAGAATCATGGCATACAAATTGGCCTCTTTG